GGGTGGGGGAGGAGATTAATATTTTATGACTCACACAATACAAAGTAAGTGGTGATCATCGCTACATAATTAAACAGCAAGCAATTTAAAAGTTTTCCAAGGATTTTTATCAGTGTAACAGATGTAGCAGCCACGGATTATTAGGCCTGTCCTCCAGCAACAGGGCTGGAAACTAAATCTACCAAATGATGTTCCATATCGACCTAGCTAAGACCGATCTCTGCCTGCTTCCACATGGAGCTGGGACAGACATGCCGTTAAGACAAAAAAGTTACATAAAACAAAAGTTACACATATTTAAGGTGGCTTAAATACTCTTTAAAGACAGAACACCTACATCAAAAGGAAAAGAACACGGCAACACAGACTAAAATGGGAAATCTGACCAGAGGCCCCAGTCAGGCGGCGCCTACACGGTGGGAGCAGCAGGACCTCAGATCTGCCCGTCTCCCATGGTGTTAGTCCCAAGTACTGAACCACACGCTCCCAGCTCAGCCTGCACTAGCAGAAACACCAGGCAGAGACTGAAACTGCAGACGTGTCACGAGAAGACGACCAAGCAAAGACACTGGTCTGTGCGGTGTCACCGCGGCCGCGCGGAGCTGCACAGATGCCACCGCGGGGCTGTTCTGGGAGGCGGGCTGCCCGAGCAGGCGCTGCCACTCAGCCGCACGCCCAATCACTCCATTCGCAGGCCCGCGGCCCAGAGAACCGATGAGCACATGCTCATGGGCTTCAAGCCTCTAAGTCGGCTCTTAGAGAAGATGACAGGGCAGCCTGGCTTCCTCCTGCTGAAGCCACCACGTTGACCCCACGCCCCCCGACCCAACTAGACCACCCCGAACACCCCTCACGTCCTCAGCCTCCTCCCTGCAGAGGGCCCCCTCTGACCTGACCACATGCCTCCCAGGCTTTGGGGCTGCCCGGCTGCAGACAGTGACCCGCTGACGCTCAAACTGGACTGGACCCAGGGGCCACTCAGGGCTGGTTCCCAGTAGCTGGCGTCTCCCAGCAGCCCTCAAGGGAGCCGAGTCAGGACACCCGGAAGGCTCTGCTGCTGGTCCTGGGCCTAGAGCCCTGCAAGGCAGGCTAGTCCTGGGCCGTAAGGAGCAGGCAGGGCTGCCAGGCCCCCCCTTATGGGTCTCCCCAAAGCCCTGGCTGCCTCCAGCCCAGCAAACCTGAGAGACACCGGGGCGGGTCACCCAACCCCACCAACACAGCAACCGAGAGATGACCCTTGTGTAAGGTGGGCCGGGCTGAGCCAGCTGTGAAGGGGCGCACAGCGCTGATCTCCGACCCCCACAGCACATGCTGCTCTCAGGCCAGGCCCTCCACCCCGACACCGCACCCAGGCTCTGCTAAGGCTCAGAAACAGGGACCTGCGCACAGGACCAACTGCCCTCCCTTGCCCAGAAAGCACCCTCTCTCACTGTCAAACAAGCATCGAGGTCACAACTCCCAGAACTGGCTGACTTCTCACTGAGCTGTGTGCTCAGCAAAGCCCTGCAAAGAGGAGGCCTCGGGAGCAGGGCCAGGCTGCCAGCGCGTGACCGGGTCCGCCCGCCCGCCGCAGAAGGGTGAGAGCGCCCCCTGCCGGCCCCCGAGGGCCGCGCAGCGCATCTGAGCTCAGAGACCCTCTCGACCCACGCCTTAGGCCCAGGGACAAGGAAAAGGGTGCGCCAGGCTTAGGGCGCTAACCACTCTCCACTCTAAGTATGGGGGCCTACACCTGACTTCGTCCTCAGCAAAGAACGGTGCCTGCCCAAACCGGGCCCTCTCAAAAAACTGGAGGGGCTGGGACCCGTCACCCGACACCCACACCCACCCTGTCTCCTCCAGGTGGCAGAGCGTGACTCAGCGGGGTTCGGCTCCGCACGCCTCGTGCTTAGGAAACTGCTGCTTATTGTTGCAGCAGTTCTGACCACAGCTTACGTGTTCTAATCACTAACACGGTCCAGCTGTGGTTCCCCACACCCAACACACACACCAACCCCCTCTAGCTCTAATTCCACATCCTACACACACACACCCTGCAGCTATGATTTCACACACCCGACACAGACACCCTGTGGCTGTGGATCCCCCAACCCTGGGCATACCCCTTGCAGCTACGGCCGGCCCCAGTGCCCAGGTACACCCTCCAGGTGCTCCACCCCTCCCCTAGAATATTCTTGGAGGACCCAGGTCCCTCTTTCTACAGGTATCTTCCAGACGTGAAGTTTCAGGCCCTGGCAGGCCACCAAGCCCACAGGATGGGTCCCAATGGGCACTTCAGGAGCTGCCTCCTCTGCTCCCCTCCTGGGCCCCTCACTAGAGCCCCAGCCCTCCAACCAGCGCCCCAGTCCACCTCCGCCACTTCCTGCCCAAACCCTGGCCCAGCCCCTCCACCTGCGGGGAGGGCCTGGCCATGGTCTCTGATGCTCAGATGAGTCAGCTCCTGGTGAGGATACACAAGGACACCCAGGGGCTGAGCTCCCATGAAGGGGATGGCCCCAGGCTATCCTCACAGCCAGTTGGGGGCACTCACCTCGCCCCTGCGGCCCTCCTCGGGTGCGATGTCCAGCTCCCGGGACCTCTTCAAGGCGGTTTCCAGCTCGGCCTTCAGGTGGATGGCGCCCTCCAAGTGCCCGCCATGTGTCCCCGCACGAGTGAACAGCTGCGAGGACACAGCATCACTTCCTAGGCCAGGTACCCGCTCTACCCCCCCGCCCCCCCGAGTCAGCCCTGCGTCCTCTGTCAACCCATGCAGGCCATCTGGACCCAGGGCCTGTCCAGACTGAGGAGCACGCCCAGGCCAGGGGCCCTCCCTGACCCAGAACATCCAGACCCAGGAGAATACCCAGACCCAGGGGCCTGTCCTGACCCAGGAGAACACCTGGATCCACGGGGCCGCCCTGACGCAGGAGAACACCCGGACCCAGGGGCCCGCCCTGACCCAGGAGAACACCCAGACCCAGGGGCCTGACCTGACCCAGGAGAACACCCAGACCCAGGGGCCTGCCCTGACCCAGGAGAACACCTGGACTCAGGGGCCCGCCCTGACCCAGAACATCCAGACCCAGAACACCCAGACCCACGGGCCTGCCCTGACCCAGGAGAACACCCAGACCCACGGGCCTGCCCTGACCCAAGAGAACACCCGGACCCACGGGCCCGCCCTGACCCAGGAGAACACCCGGACACAGGGGCCCGCCCTGACCCAGGAGAACACCCAGACTCAGGGGCCTGACCTGACCCAGGAGCCTGCCCTGACCCGGGAGAACACCGACTCAGGAGAACACCCGGACCCAGGGGCCCGCCCTGACTCAGGAGAACATCCAAACCCAGGGGCCCGCCCTGACCCAGGAGAACACCTGGACCTAGGAACCTGCCCTGACCCAGGAGAACACCCGGACCCAGGAAAACACCCGGACCCAGGGGCCCGCCCTGACCCAGGAGAACACCCGGACCTAGGGGCCCGCCCTGACCCAGGAGAACACCCGGACCCAGGGGCCTGACCTGACCCAGGAGAACACCCAGACCCAGGGGCCTGACCTGACCCAGGAGAACACCCAGACCCAGGGACCCGCCCCCCAGGAGAACACCCAGACCCAGGGGCCTGCCCTGACCCAGGCAAACACCTGGACCCAGGAACTCACCTGGACCCAGGAACATGTGGCCGGCAGGAGCTTGTTCTGGATGAGCCTGAGCGCATCCTGCGCCGCACGAATGACAGCCGAGTTGTCCTCGTTCTCACACACCCTCAGACTGTCTGCGGCAAATGCAGTCATCGGAGGGCCCACCACCCAGGCAGGTCATTGGGTATCCCAGACTGGACCACCCGCCAGCCACTCATCACCCGGCACCCAAACCTGCCGGCCCAGGAGACTGTCTTGTGGCTCTGGCCACAGTGGATCTAACCTAACCCCAAGGCCCCTCTCCAGGCTGTGAAGTCAGGGGACCACTCCCCCCCGCCACGCCCACACTGCCCCCAGGATGGAGGCCCCACCCGGCCCCTGGCCCAGGGTCCTCCCTGTGAGCTCCACCACCCCAGCAAGCCTCAGCTGACACCCCCTCCAGCGCAACCCCTGCGTCCAGGCCTTGACGCCTGCTTGCAGGGCACAAGGTGCCCAGTGGGCCAGGTCTTCCTGTGGCCACGGAGGCCAAGTGACCTCCAGCCTCAGCCTCACCCCACCGGAGGGGCCCGGGCCATGTGGGGTGGGAAGACAATCAGCGCCTCTCACCCACGGGGGCTGGAGCGCAGGAGCCCCATGGTGCCAGTGTGGTCAAGGCCCGTGCTGTCACAAACGTGGCAGAAAACTGTATCTCTCGATTCCTCCCCCAGCCGCCCTCTGGCCTGAGCAGGGGAGCCCTGCATGTCAGAGGGCTGGCGCCCTGTGGCCCCCACGCCGGAGTCCCCTCCCACGCCCGCCTCGCAGCCCAAGCACCGCAAGCGCCCCGGGCCCGTGGCCCCGGTGGCCCGGCGTGCGGGCAGCCCTACCTGAGGAAAGGTCCACGGCCAGCGTGTACTGGCGGGAGCCCAGCCCGTGCTGTCGCACGAACCCGTCCAGGTCACCGTCCTCGTCCTCCGGGGGCGGCCCTCCCGTGCCCATGCCTCCTGGGTGGCGTGCGCAGGCGGGCAGACTCTTGCTGCAGCAGGGCTGCTCCTCGTCCCTGTCGCCCTCCTCGGGCACGGGGCACCCGGCGGCCGCGGGGCCCAGGTCGAGGTCAAAGGGCAGCAGCAGTCGGAAGCAGTTCTCTAGCTCGGTGAGGCAGCCCCGGATCTCCGTGGACATCTCTAGGAGGACGGGAAGCGGCTTGCTCAGACCCGGCAGGAGTGGCGTCCAGGAGGGGACACAGCGCGCCCCGCCCCCTCCTCCACAAGCAGGTGGGTGCCCTGCTCTGGAGACCACTGCGGGACATTCAGGGCGACACCCTCAGCCGTGCCCAGCAAGAGCCTCTCTGGACAGCACTCCCGGCCGCTCCCCGTCGAGCTCAGCTCTGCCCCACCAGCCCACTCTGGCTGTGGCTGCCCACGGGATTCCCCGGCTCTGTGGCCTTCCTGAGGCCAGGCTTCTGGAAGGGTCTTCGAGCCCCGCCCTTCAAGGTGCTCCCGGCCCTGGCTGCCCCCCACAGGGAGGGCTGGCACAGGGATTTGGGGAGATGGGCGAGTCCGCAGGTGGCGGCGGTCGGGGTCACGCGGACGGTGACGCGGGTCTGCGGCGCGGCCACTGGGGCTGCAGGAGAGGGTGGAGGCCGTGGGCCCCCCCCGCCCTCGACGTGACCGACTCCGTCCAGTCTGCCCACCCCCTGCCCCCAACCCCCACCGCAGCCGCAGCCGGCACCTCCTCCAGTGCGACCCCTGCGCCCGCAGTCCTGGCAGGTCCCCGCCCTCGACGTGACCGACTCCGTCCAGTCTGCCCACCCCCTGCCCCCAACCCCCCAGCGAGCCGCAGCCGGCACCTCCTCCAGTGCGACCCCTGCGCCCGTGGTCCTGGCAGGTCCCTGCAGGGCGCCAGGTGCCCGGGGATCTAGGTCTTCCTGTGGCTATGAGGTCAGCTGACCTCCAGCCTCATCCTCCCCCCACCCCAAACCCCCAGAGCAGGCCCTGGGACAGGGGTGCGCCGCGGGGCATGGACCTGAGCTCCGCCTGGCAAGGAGCAGCAGGAGGGGAGGGGAGTGGCACCCCCATTCCCCATAGCTCACCTTCCATCTCTCTCGCTGCCCACTCAGACCTTTCCTTGTAGATTCTGTCCAAGCGCTTCTGTTTCTCTTCTGCTCGCTTTCTTTCTGCCAGAGTGCGAGCATCCGCGTCTTGGAAATCTACCTGATAAGTTTAGCTAAAGGTCAGACCCAGCTACAAAGAATCCAACAAAAACGTCACTTGCAACCAGGCCTAACAGAAGACACAGCAGCACCACTATCCTCAGAAGCACTACGGGCGGAAGTGTTATGATCTCAAGTTCACACCTGCTGCTTTAAAACGCCAAGTAACACATTCGACCGCGATACTATACCCCCAGGATGAACACAGCTATTGGCGTCTCCTGGTAAAGTCACACACATGCTGCAGGTGGGAAGGGAGGCTGCTGGCCAGACCCAGGGGCCTGAGAATAAAGCACGAGGGGACCCCAGGGGGCAGCAGGAAGGACAGCAGCCACAGGCCTGGAGTGGGTGGGAAGGCGGGGGCACTACCGGTCCTGGCAGGAGTCATCCACCCAGACTGGCCAGGCCAAAGCGCAGAGCCCGGCAGAGAAAAGGCTGTGTCTGAGCAGATGACTCTCACGCTCCTTTTCATCTTGTGGAAACCAGGGCCAAAGGCTCAGCCCCACATACACGCGGGGCCGAGCTGAGGCTCTTCCCTCACAGCTGCTCCTCCGGCTCCAGACCACCCCCACCCCCGACCAGACCCCACGGGCCGGGCGGTGCAGTGCAGGGCTTGCCCACCTGTTTGCTGTGCTTTAGGAAGTGGAAGCCTAGGGCCAGCTTCTTATAGGCTGTGCCGTACTTCTCGTTCCAGCCACGGACGGCCCGGGTGGCTGCCTGCCTCAGTCTCTGTGCCACCTCCCTGGGGGGTGGCAGGGGCCGCTCATGGTCGGTGCCCAGCGTGAGCTCCAAGAACTCCTGGAAGTTGGAAACAACCAGCGTCCTGAACTGGTGAGACCTGGCGAAGAGCTGGTCCAGGACCTGGAAGGCGGAGAGGCGGATCTCCGCATGCTCCTGGCTCAGCTGGGCCATCAGCAGGTGGTAGGCGTGGCCAAGCTGCTCCTCTGAAGACCTGGAGACACAGCCACGGTGGCAGGTACGCGGGCACTTCCAGAGCCATCTGCCCTTCCCCCGGGGCAGACGAGCCCTGCGCACATGCCAAACCTGGCCCCTGCCTGTTGCTGGATGGCCCACAAGCCAAAGTTTTTACTACCTTCATTAAGAGGAATAGAAAAAAAACATTTCCTGACACGTGAAAACCCTGTGAGACTGTGTCAGTGCCCACGCTTTCACTGAGACCCAGCCAGGCGCTTTCGTTCATTCAGCCGGCTGACTGCCCATCCACAGCCGAGTGCCCACAGGGCCTGAAGGACTCTCGGCCTGCCCAGCTAGCAGAGGTGCAGAGACCCCACCCCAAGGGGAGACCACCCCCGCCCCCCAGCCCTCCTGGAAAGCTCTGTGGCCTTCTGGGAGCCACCCTGGGAGGTGTACACACAGCAGCCCCTCTTTTGTTCCTCTTCCCAGATATCCTCACCTTCCCCATGCCCTGCTCTTTGGGGGTTTTCGGGGAATGCAGCAAAATCTGACCTGAGTCACCATTTTACCAAAATGTCAATTCTTATTACTTAAATGATCACTTAAGACCTGTTCTGTGAACACATGATAAGAATAACCAATAAATATCCTCGCTTCTGTTGCTAGCACCTGAGAAGCTCTTGGCTAAGAAGAGTGGTGTCCAAAGACAGACAGGACCTCCCCCGCAACACAAGAGTTCACTTCTATGACCTCTAACCTTCCTCCCACACATGTTCCAACACTAAGTAACCCTTAAGTCATACATGTGCGCTCAAAGATAGGCACCCACACAGAGAATGGAACAAACCTGTTCTCCCTAACGCTGCACACCCCTGCCTGGAACTGCTGCCCCAGAACAGGACCAAGCCCTGCAGGGCCCTGGGGAGATGTCTGGATGTTTGCCAGTTCTTTCCCAGCAGAGAATTGATCACAGGGACAGGCAGCGGACAGCTGACCCCAGGGTAGCCCCACAATCTCCTAGGCTTGTCACAGGCTTGCTGAGACATTGAGCCTTAAGACATACTTGCAAATTTTCTTCAGTTCCTTCATTTTCTCGGGGTTCACTTGGGGCTCTCCTGAAGTTGTGAGCTCTTCTACCAACTCTGAAAGTTTCTGATCCATATCTAGAAACAGGAAACACAGAGACGCTAAACGACCACCTAGTATTTCACAGCTCTGGGCTTTGTTAGATGTTCGCTGGGTTCCACTATGTGTTGGGCACAGGGTGTAGGCACAACGCTGAGAAGTCCTTGCGATCTGACCTCTGACCCCCTGATGCTGAAACTTAACAATTCAAGGTGAGATTCCGGGCCGAGTCAACAAGACATTTTTGATGGTAATTAGGAAAAGGGCAACAACAGACCCGTGCTCTGGAAGTCTACAATCTGAGACCGCCAGCGAGAGCCACGGAGCACGCAGTCACGCTCGGCAGGAAGGCAAGGACCAGAACAGCCTGAATTATACTCAAGCTAGCTTTCCCGCAGGACAGCAGGCGCACCTCTTCCTTCGCCAGCTTGACCATCCCTCCGAAAGCCACAGGGTGGCCCCTAGACCCGCAGGGCGAGTTGCTGCAACTCGATCTGCCCGCGGGCAGCCGCCACAGGCGAATATGGAGAGGACCGAGGCGCCCGCGCCGCAGGGAGATGACCGGGGCCGCAGGAGTCGCGGGTGGCGAGGACGACAGGCGGTTCGCCGCGTCTCCCACCAACAGTAACGTCTGATGTTGCCGACGCTCGGCCGCCGGGACAGGCCCGCCCTCCGGAGCAGAGCCCCAGCGCCCCGCCGCCCTCGGGCCAGTCGGGGCCAACGAGCCCCCGTCCTAAAGTCCGGGGCGCGGCCGGACCGAAGAAAGGCGTCCAGAGAAAGGCGCGGCGGGGGCATCATGGGGCGGGGGACGAAGGAGGCGCCCCCGGGAAATAGCTGCGCTCTGACCCCGGCCCGCCCGGCCGCCCCTCAGCCCCACCTACCGCGCTACCGGCCGCTCGCCTCAGCCAGCCCTTCCGGCGAAGGGCCCGCCCCATCACGTGCCCCAGATCTCGACAGTCATTGACCCGCCCTGGCCCGGGCGGCGCGGGGGCGAAGGTCAGACCAGCCGAAGCCCCGTCTAGCCCGTTTGGCGGCCGCTCTCTGATTAGCCCGCCCCTTCCGGCGCAGACCCCGCCCTCCGATGGTCACGTGACCCCAGTGGGGCGCCCCACCCCTCACCCCCCCCCGGATCCCCGAGGAGTGGACGCCGGGTCAGGGCCGAGACTTGCGCTATGACGCAGGCGCGCTCCCGACCGAAGGGGTGGGATGGGGCTTACGACGCGCGAGAAAAAAGGAGGCGGGCGGGCGCGGCAAGGCCTTAAAGGGGCCGCGTGCGCGTGGTCTGGGCCGGGCCCAACTGAGGGTGCGCGCTCGGGTTTTCGGCGTCGGCGCCGGAAGCGTGGCGGCTTCCCTGCTCCGGGCCGCCCGGTGGGCGCACTTCTCCACGGCGCGGGGGACGCTGCCCCCTGGCGCTTCCCAGAGGGCTCCCCGGACCGGGGCCTGGGCGGACGCCCCAGCCGTCCCCGAGGGATGGTGCCCCCGCTGGCAGCGCCCTCCCAGGTCCGTGGGCAGCGCGGGGAGCCCGGCCCGGGGGACCCTCCCCGGCTCGTCTGGCAGCAGCCCGCTGGCCGCACGTCCCGGGGAGGGGGGGTACCGGCGCGGGGCTGGGCGTTGGTCCTCCCGAGGCCGCGGCTGGGACGCCCCCAGGCCTGACGGCCCCGCGTGCTCAGACGCCCGCCGTAGCCGGGCCCTTGGGAGGCTCCCCAGGCTCGCGGCGCCCGCACGGACCAGCGAGCGGCAGCTTGGGTGTGTGCGGGGGCCCGGGTCGGATAGAGGGGGCCGACGGCGCCGCAGGCCGGCCGGCCCGCGCGCCTCCGCGGGCGGCGGTGCCCGACGCGTCGGGCTCCAGTCTCGGGACGGAGAACAGGACGCCGATTGGACCGTGTGGTACCGCTGGCACAGAACGCCCAGGAGACGGGGACCAGGGATCAGGGGTGGTGGTTGCCCAACCTCGTCTCTGTGTTGAAATGTCGAGTTGTACCTTTGTAAAGGGTGGCTCTTGTGGTATGTGAATTACAGCTTAATAAATAGCTATTAAGAAAGTGGGGGGGGGGGAAGGGGGGAGGAACGAAAAATGAGGCAAAACGAATTAAAAAGGCGAAAGAAGTGACCGCCGGCCTCCCTGCGCAGGCCCCCGCCTCTGGTCTACCTTCTGTGGCCACAGGGTGTTTCCCGTGAGAAGCCCCCCCCCCCCCCAGCTCCCCTCCCGGGACTCCTCTCCGCGGCCCTCTCCTGGAGACCTGTCTCTGCCCCATCGCCCACTCGTCTCAGCCGATGGAGCGTGCTCTGTCTTTAAACGCGCTTGGGCCAATGACCTAGGAGGGCCCCTGGACCCCTCTTCCTTTCCCCCAGCTCACATGTCCAGACAGCCCCGCCTTCGGAGGGGATTCAGAATCGGCGCACTTAGACATTCTACCGCCACCGCCAGGTCCCTGCCACACCCTCGGTCCCCGCAGTCACCTCTGCCCTCTCCTGCCCCCTAGAGACCGTTCACCTCGCCGCAGCTAGAAGGACCCCCTAGAGGCTAAAGTCAGACCCTGTGGCCCCTTGCCCCTTCACTGGCTCCCATCCCACGGTGAAGCCAGAGCCTGTAACAGACCACGGGGCCTTCCGGGTCTGTGCCGATCACCCCACCACCTCCCTCCTGCTCTCCCTGCCTCTGCAGCCGGTGGGGCTTCCGGAAGCCACCCCCTGCCTGCAAGGCTGTGCGTCCTGCCTGGCATGTCGTCCCTCAGCCTCTCACCTCCCTTGCTGTAACCAGACCCCCTTGCCCCAGCCCCTAGGTCTTGGTGCACATGTGGGTTTTCCTCTAGTTGCGGTGCAGGCTTGTCTTACTTGGAGCACAGGCTCTAGGTGTGCAGGCTTCAGCACGTGTGGCTCCCAGGCTCCAGAGCACAGGCTCGGTGGTTGACGCAGGGGCTGTGATGCTCTGCGGGCTCTGGAATCTTCTGGCCCAGGGACCAGACCTGTGCCTCCTGCACTGGCAGGCGGAGTCTTTACTGCTGAGCTACCAGGGAAGCCGCCCTACCTGCCCGTCTGGGACTCGGTCCACTCGGTCCCTCTCTCACACAGGTTCCTAATCTCATCCTAAGGTTATTGGGAAAAAAAAAAAAAAAGGTTATTGGGGTTTCTCCTCTTCTGTTCTCAGGAGGTGTGCTCCATGAGGGCAGGGATCTTTGTCTTGTTTCATGATGCCAGGCACACAGTAGATGTTCAATACTTGCTGAATGTTGAATCATCAAGAACACGGAAGCACCTTAAAAGCAGTTGGAGAGAAGGGACATTACAAAGATAAGAGAGCAGCAAATTTCTTGGCCAAAACAACACAAGCTCCAAAGCAATGAAAAAACACCCTGCAGCAGTAAAAGAAAAAACACTGCCAACCTTGGATCATGTACAGTGGAATGTGCCCCCAAACTAAACTATGGTGAAATGAAATCATTTCAGGCAAAAGCTGAGTGAATTCATCACCAGTGGTTTTACGGTTTAAGAAATGTTACAGAACTTCTTCAGAGTTAAATTAGAATTTAACTGATATTTGGAAAGTTTCCACATATTTGGAAATTAGCCATCAGACATCTAAATAGTCCGTGGGTCATGTAAAAAAATCACAACGTAAACTAATATATTTTTAACTGCATGAAAAAAACATTAAAATGTAGGGATGTTTGTGTTAGAAATGAAAGGCTCCACAGCAGTAATCTTCCCCTTAAGAAGCTAGAAAAAGAATAATTAAATCCAAAAATAGACTTTATTTTCTTGGGCTCCAAACTCACTGTGGATGGTGACCACAGCCATTAATTTGAAAGATGGTTGCTCCTTGAAAGGAAAGCTATGACAAACCTAGACAGAGTATTAAAAACCAGAGAGGATCACTTTGCCACCAAAGGTCCATAGAGTCAAAGCTATGGTTTTTCCAGCAGTCATGTATGGATGTGAGAGTTGGACTGTAAAGAAGACTGAGCACCAAAGAATTGATGCTTTTGAACTGTGGTGTTGAAGACTCTTGAGAGTCCCTTGGACTGCAGGGAGAGCCAACCAGTCCATCCTAAAGGAAATCAGTCCTGAATATTCATTGGAAGGACAGATGCTAAAACTGAAACTTCAATACTTTGGCCACCTGATGCGAAGAGCTGACTCATTTGAAAAGACCCTGATGCTGGGAAAGATTGAAGGCAGGAGGAGAAGGGGCTGACAGAGGATGAGATGGTTGGATGATATCACCAACTCGATGGACATGAGTTTGAGCAAGTTCCAGGAGGTGGTGAAGGACAAGGAAGCCTGGTGTGCTGTAGTTCACGGGGTCACAAAGAGTCGGACACAACTGTGCGACTGAACAACAAACAAAATGAGCAGAAGGAAGAAAACAATAAAGAGCAGAAATCAATTAAAAAAATAAACAATGGGAGGAAATAATCCAAAATGTGCTTTGTAATATCTATAGAATTGAAATTCTGATTGATAGAAAACTGACTGTAGCTAAACTGATCGAGGAAAAATTAAGGAGAAACAAATGATCAAGAAGAGGAATGACTGCGCATCACGTGTCCTACAGGCATTGCAATAATAGAGCACATTACAGATGATGTGCTTAGCAAAGTCCTAGCAGATCAAATCCAGCCATACATAAAAAACATAACACACCAAGTGGGATTTATCCAGGAAGGCAAGTTTGATTTTTCTTCAAAATCAAAGAATGTAATCTTCCATATCAACAGAATAAAGAAGAAAAATCACATGGTAATTTCCTTAGACAAAAAAAAGGACATTTGACAAAATTCATCAATTCATGATAATAATTCTCAGGATACTCCCTCAACCTGGTAAGGAACACCCAGGGGAACCTGCAGAAACTTCATTCTTAACAGTAAAAGGTGACACTTTCTGCCCAAGAAGGGAGACAAGGCCACGACACCCTCCTCCTGTTTTAACCATGAGCTGGAGGCTCTGGCTGGTACAAGAAGGGAAGAAAAAGAGACACAAGACATGGACATTAAGAAGAAAGAAGTAAACTGTCTCTATTTACAGATGATACAATTGTGTACATAGAATATGCCTTAAAATTTGCCAAGAAGTAAGGCTAGTGAAGGACTTTAGCAAGGTCACAGGCCACAAGGTCTATATAGAAAACCACTATGTCTGTTACCATATTGGAACTACTGGAAAGGGAAATTTAAAGATTAAGTGTACAATAACATTAAAAATCTTGAGGTAATTAAGGTTAACAAAATATGTCCAAGGCATGTACACTAAAAACTATAAAATGTGAATGAGAGAAATAAAGTAAATCTGAGTAACTATGTGGTGAGAATGTGTGTCATGAACTGCAAGACTCAAAACTGTTGATTTTTAAGTTCCTGTTATGAACTAAATCAGGCCCCCCTTCCTTAAACCATTATCTCCCTGTGACTCTATTTGGAGGCAGTTACCCAAGCTAGATAGCATATTAAAAATACATTATTTTTGTAAAGTAAAAGATAATTACTTTGCCAACCAAGGTCAGTCTAGTCAAGGCTATGGTTTTTCCAGTCATGTATGGATGTGAGTGTTGGACTGTGAAGAAAGCTGAGCACAAAAGAATTGATGCTTTTGAACTGTGGTGTTGGAGAAGACTCTTGAGAGTCCCTTGGACTGCAAGGAGATCCAACCAGTCCATCCTGAAGGAGATCAGTCCTGGGTGTTCATTGGAAGGACTGATGCTGAAGCTGAAACTCCAGTGCTTTGGCCACTTCATGTGAAGAGTTGACTCATTGGAAAAGACCCTGATGCTGGGAGGGATTGGGGGCAGGAGGAGAAGGGGACGACAGAGGATGAGATGGCTGGATGGCATTACCGATTCGATGGACATGAGTTTGAGTAAACTCCAGGAGTTGGTGATGGACAGGGAAGCCTGGTGTGCTGTGATTCATGGGGTCGCAAAGAGTCGGACACGACTGAGCAACTGAACTGAACTGAACTGAAGGTTA